GGGGGGGGGGGGGGGGGGGGGGGGGGGGGGGGTTGGGGGGGGGGGGGGGGGGGGGGGCTGCCGGCGAGGAACGCGGGCGCGGTTTCCCAGCTCTAGGTGTGCATTTGGGGGGGGGGGGGGTCGTTCCCTGCCAATTAGCACAAGAGTTCCGTCCCCACATTGAACGCGTGTTTGGGGGCAAACGTTTGAAGGAGGCCGCGAAAATGCCCAGGTCTGCGGGCTTCAGGTTGCGCGAACGAGGAGAGGGGTCCTGAGCCCCGCGCAAGGCCGAGCAACCGATCCCTTAGGAGCGACCCTGGAATCCGACCTGCGTCGCGTAGGCAACTGCGCTCTGTACAAGCTCAGAATGCGGCTACTCCTTAAAATAAGCCCCGGCATGGGGGAGATCGGGGGGGGGGGGCATTGAAAAAAATGGTTCCTCCCCTTCCCCCTTTTGGAAAAATCTGCTCACCTGGGGCGGGGCTGTTTGGAAGAGGGGTGGAGCTATGCAAATGACCGATTCCGTTCCCGCCCCTTTCGGTCGGACTGCAGGGAACCCAAAACCTGGTGGAAATCTGGGGCCTTTAGGGAGCCAAAGCGGGGGTGGGGTGGGGCTCTCTTCCCCTTGATAGGCTGCTAAGGAGGCAGAGCCGGGGCTCCCCCAAGGCTGCAGGCCCACCTTGGCTGCCTTCAAGGTAAGGCCTCGGAGGCATGTGAGTGGGAGCCCCCCTCACAGGCATCCCAGGTGGCTGAGATGCCTCCCAGCCCAGGAGCAAGTCCTGCTGAGGCCAACATAGGCCAACCCGATGGGGATGGGAGTTGTAGTCCTGCAGGTTTGGAGGTGCAGAAGACTGGCCTCGCTGTGGGCCTCCTGGGGTGGGCCTAGAAGGCAGGTTGCATCGCTGCTTTCCCCTTTTTGGGGAAGGGGTTCCGAGGGAGGGATTCTTCCACCTCCCTCCTGTGTGTTGGGGCAGACCTCCACCCGTAGCACCCAGGCCCCACAGACCCTCCCCGCCCCTGCTAGTTCTTGCCAGTCCTGGAGGAGGCCTCTCGGGGGCACCTTGCCGGGTGAAGCTGTGTAATCTGGAATCCAGCGAAGGAGGCCGCGTGTCCCCCTTTGAAGTGCCAATGGCATAACATGGGCGGGGTGGGGGGGAGATTGCATTCCAGTGGGAAAGTGCGGTGTTTTTTCCTTCAGTCCCAAACTGATGCAGAAGGAAATAAAAAACCAGGGCTGGAAAGATAAGAAAGTGAGGCAAAATAAGCGAGGCTCCCTTGCTCTCCCAGCCCCCAAATTAGGAAGAGGATCCCCGGGTTTGCCAGAGACCTTGGAGAGCCACCTCTCGCCCCCTGGGTCTCAGCCGGGCTTCTCTCCTACTCCCAGAGCCACTTCTGCTGCCAGAGATTAAAAATAGCCTGCTGGGAGAGAGAGAGGAGACCATTTGGCAAAGGGACCGTTTTCTTCTTCCACTCAAAATCCTTTTGGCCCCTTCTGCTCTTCCAAAGCCCCCCACCCCCACCCCCCGGTTGAAGAAGTGGCCCCGTCCTGCCAGGTGTTTGTGTCTGGGGTGGGGGCTGTGGGGTGGGATAACAAAGATCCACGGCCCTTTGAGTTTCATTGGGTTTCCTTGCCTGGGATTGGAAAGGGGACACAGGGGATTCACCCGGGACCAGCCGGGGGAGGATCTATGGGATCTACGTCCCAACCTCAACTACCTGTATTGAACAAGCGTCCCAATAGGTGCCATTTATTTTATTTATTGATTTAAATGTGTGCCTTCAAGTCCCTTTTGATTCCTGCCAGCACCTGGAGAGACCTCTGCAGTTTCCTTGGCCCCATTTTCAGAAAAGATTTCCTCTTTGCCCCCAGCTTCCCGGGGCTGAGCGAGGGCACCATCTCCCCATCTGGTCCCTTTGGTCATCACCTGAGCTGCCTTGAGCCCCCCGGGCTTCCACCTGACCTTCCGTCTTCTTTTACCAACCCCTCCCTTTCCTTCCTTTGCAGGGTCACTGTCAGTCAGCCCCGCAGAGCCCCCTCTGCCTTGCTCCCTGGGCAGCCACTGCCACTGCCGCCCCCCCCCCACGAAGCAGAAGCCAGGGCTCAGGCAGATGGGTCCCCACCCTTGAAGAGCTGGACCTCCAAGGGGGAGCCTTTGCCAAAAGAAGGAGCTGAAAACAGCACACGCACACACACACACGGGCCCAGTCCCCAGCACCTTCCTCCTCCTCCTTTCATCTCAAGGCCCGAAGGGCTGGTGGGAGTCATGGACGAAGGCTTCAGAGACCGGACCGCCTTCATCCGTGGCGCAAAAGACATCGCCAAGGAGGTGAAGAAGCACACAACCAAGAAGGTGGGGAAGGGGGTGGACCGCGTGCAGGACGAGTACACCAAGCGCTCCTACGCTCGCTTCGAGGAAGAGGAGGATGACGACTATCAGCCCCAGGATGGATACTACCGTGGGGAGCCCTCGGTTGACGATGAGGGGGCCTCCAGCGATGCTACGGAAGGCCACGATGAAGACGACGAGATCTACGAGGGGGAGTACCAGGGGATCCCCCGGAATGACTCCCTGAAAGGGGGGGAGCGGCTGACGGCCGGCCCGGAGGTAGCCAGTGAGTTCAGAGACTTCGATGACCTGGAAGGAGACAAGAAGAAGGAGAAGGAGGAGCTTTCCCAGCAGTATGAGCTCATCCTCCAGGAGTGCGGACATGGGAGGTTCCAGTGGACGCTCTACTTTGTGCTCGGACTGGCTCTCATGGCTGACGGAGTGGAGATTTTTGTGGTCGGCTTTGTCCTCCCCAGTGCTGAGAAAGACATGTGCTTGTCGGACTCCAATAAAGGCATGCTGGGTAAGTCCCCCAGGGAGGGCGTGACGTAGTGAGGGACTCACAGATCTCCTGGAAGCTTTGGCCTCTTGGGATGACCTTGGAAGGGGGCTGCCCCAATCGTCTTTTCGGGTGTAGATTCGTTTTTTTTCATTTCAGAAGACAATAGATGATGAGCATGGTTAACTGCCCCCACCCAAGTCCTAGGGTTTCACAGAGCATCATGGGAAAGAGAGAGACGATGCTCTCTGCTAGAGTTGAGATGGGAAACAGGTGTTTTTTTTTTAAATCATCCTATTTATTGCAACCTGAAACTTGATAAAAGGTTTACCTTCAGCCACATATACTTCCACCAAGAGTGATTCCCAGTTAAGGAATATTTGCAGCTAGGGAAGAGGCATAATAATTTATAGCAAGAAATTTGCAGCCCTGAAGAAAGTCATCCCAGTTCATGTGGAATGAGTTGTGGAGTTGGCACTGCTAATTTTCTGGCAGCAGAAAGTATTCGTTGCAAACTTTCAGATTATATAGCGCTCTCTTGCCACCAGTGCAATCTTTATGGGATCAGACAGATTGAGAGCATAGTGGATGGTTGCGCAAAGTTTGACTCCTCCGTGCGTATGTATCTGGGGACAGGCCTGAGAGTCCGTAAAGGAGAGCTGTTGTGCTTGCAAGTTATAACACCACTTTGCACTTTGGGATTGTATGACTGCTCCGTGTTGAGTGTAAGGAGACACAAATCCCATGGAAAACCAGCACTGCAGGGAGGACAATGCTGTAAGTTTTCATCCTCCCCTAAAATGCCGGCTCCTGCCATGCAGGGATTCCTTCATTTTATAAACCATGCCGTTAGGGCCACCGGATAGTTTTGAAAAAGAAATACGTTCAGGGAGGAAGTGGCTGTTCTCCACACACAGGCCGAGGAGGAGGTCAAGGAGATCAGGGTCCAGCCGTCCAGCTGGCTGAGCTCCCACCGGGGGTCTGTACTGGTGGGTCCCTGGCCCTGTTCTGATCAGTATTGACCATTTCCTAGCGCCTCTCTGTTGAAGCGGCCTGTGGGCCAAAGAGGTGTTTCCGTGTCCATTTGATCAGAGAAGGCACTGACAAAGGCAGCAGCAGCAGCAGCAGCAGCAGCGATTCTCCCCCAGGCAGCGACCCCAAGTACGGGGGCATCACCTCCTGGCAGGGATGGAAGCCCCTTGGCTGCTGCAGGGACAGCAGCTCCCAGGCAGCTCTGTGACTCAGTCGGGGACCAGCTGCGGCTGCTGCTGCTGCTGACGAAGGCTCCGGCACTGCCTGCCGGGTGACTCATCTTCCCCTTCTCCATCTTAGCCGCTCTGTGCAGAGAGACCAGCCCCCTCCCCAGCTTATCTCCTTGCTGCTTTGGGGCGCTGCGAGGGAGGCCAGGCGGGGAGGGAGAGCAGCGCAGGCAAAATCACATTCCCCAGAAAGGAAGAGGGATGCCGGGCGGCGGAGGAGGAGGAGGAGGCTGGGGGTGAGAAATCGAGGGGGGGGGGCAGTGGCTTTGGAGGCAGTTGTGGGGCCAGATCTCCATGCGACACCACCGCAGTGCGGCAGAGCCGGCCTTCCTCCCCACTTCGGGTGGGAAAGGTCAGGCAGGAGTGGGGCAGCAGCAGCAGAACCCCACAGCCTTCGGGTTTGGGCTGGGCAAGCGAGCCAGGCGCTCCTCCTCTGCTGTGGGCCTAATCAGATCAGCCACCAGGGAGGCCGCCTTCCAAAGGCTTTGGGCTCCCTGGCAGCCAGGGTGGCTGGAGAAGGTGGGCCGGGTGGCCTCAGCAGAGGACGGGACTGGCGGACAGACTCACCCAACAAGCAGAGCAAGGCCTGTTCCAGACCACAGGGAGGCTCCTTGATGGGGGCTGCCTGCAATAGCTCAGGCGGAGGGTGGCCGTCTCCTCTCCTAGCCCCTGGTCACCCGCCAGCCCTGTGGTTCAAGGCTGGGCCATTCGGTCAGCTGCCTCAGAGCTCAAAAAGCCAGCCCCCACCCCCACTTCCTCCCTGAAAAGTCTGGGTGAAGCCACAGAAGAGGGCGGGGGTGCCCCCCCCCACCAGGGCACAGCATGCAGCTCCGTCCCAGGGGTGAGAGGGAGCCCTCGGAAAGACCCACAGCCCCCCTCTTACCTCACGGCAACGGAGATGCTGCCAGAGCCCAGGCCAAGGCTGCCAGGTACCCAGCAGGGGGGCACAATTGGCCGGTGTCGGAGAGGTTAACTCTGGACTGCCAGCAGGTAGCAAGAATCCCCACATGCCCAGTTCTGGACGCCACAGGGCCCTTCCCCTCCTGGCCCTCAGCCTGGCTCGACAGCAGAGTCCGTGTAAATGCAAGACTACCCCCCCCCCTCCCTAGAGCCGGAGTCTCTCTGGCTGCCTTTCCCCAAGAATAAAGAGAGGGTTGCCAAGCTCCCTGCAGAAGGTGGCTCCCACGCTGTAACTCCTCCTCCCCCCCCCCTGCTGTCTCTCCCCTGCAGGCCTGATTGTCTACCTGGGCATGATGGTGGGGGCCTTCCTGTGGGGCGGCCTGGCGGACCGGCTGGGGCGCAGGCAGTGCCTGCTGATGTCGCTCTCGGTCAACAGTGTCTTTGCCTTCTTCTCCTCCTTCGTACAGGGCTACGGCACCTTCCTCTTCTGCCGACTGCTCTCTGGTGTGGGGTAAGGGGGCCCTGGGGGCTTTCCTCCCCATCCTGGGCCAGGGCTGGCTTCCCAGTGGGGCGGTGGGGGGGGGGGGGGGTGAACCGGGCATCCTCCCCCAGCCAAACAGAGCAGTGTGTTTGAGGGCGCCCAGGGCCAGAAGAGAGTCCTGGGGCCGGCAGGGGGCCCAGTGTGGCCTCCGTTGGTCCTCCCCGTCCC